TATTTTTTAAATATATTTTCATTATGAGAAATGGGATAGAGAGGGACACATACAACAACAGGGAGGTTTTGGGCCTAGGTCAGAGTAGACTCCTGTGGAACAAGGCAAGAAGTGGCAAAAATTGATAGTCCTGGAAATCCAGTTTTAGAAAGAGGCAGCAAGATGTGCAAAGGCTGTCACTCAAGCCAGACAGGGGCAGTGGATGAAATGGGAGGGCATAGAGAAAAGAAAGATCAGCTGGAAGAACCTGTGGGGAATGGAAGCAAGCAGGATTAGCATCCTGACCAGGAGTGGTCAGTTGGAGCAAGCTTGAGACTGGGAGATGTTGGTGGATGTGGGCCAGCGGCTTACAGTCCCATCACATTTTATTATTACCACCCTAAGACCTGACTCTGGTCCAATACCCTGCGTGTCGTCTACTTCATAGAATTGACAGTACCCTGGGAGGATAATGTTGATGAAGCAACTGAGAGGAAAAGGCTGTGGTATGCAGACATGGCATTTGAGGCAGAGCAATGTGGCTGGATAGCAATAGTTTGCCCTGTGGAGGTTGGCTGTAGGGGTTTCTTTGCAACATCCACCATCAGGTTGATCAAACATCTGGGGATCCACAGACAAGCCCTGCTCCAGACCATAAAAGAAACATCACACATTGCAGAACACTGCAGCCACTGGCTCTGGATCAGGAGGAAAGATCCCAACTGGGCCCCAAGATGCTGGAAACATGCCAGGTCTGAAGAACCTGTGGTGGACTGCCCTGTCTTGTGATTAAAAGGCTGAAACACATGATGACAAGATATCTCCTTAAAATGGTGATTATTATTTCAATCACTTATTTGAGGGTTAATATATTATTATTATTATTACTATCATCATTATCATCATCATCACCATCTTACTTTATGGAGCACAGATTAAAAAGTTCATCACAAGACAATAATCAAAATAAATGTCATACACTCGTCAGAATTAAAGATAATCAAAATTCAACTTGAATTAAAACTAGAATTCAACTAAAATGATGAAATACTCTCTGACGACAGTATGTCTTGAGAAGGGGCTAAGAAGAAGTCCTTGACTGCAAATCCTTTGTCACTTTCAGATTTCAGCTGGTAGTCTAGGACAGGTAGCAAACCTCTGGACGATTATCTTTAAGAACAAGAAGGAGAGTGGTGTGTATAACAGATCTGATATATAGGATGGGCAATGAAGAGCCAGAAAAGTAATAAGTGAAATCATTAAAATCAATACAAATAAACTCTGGGGACCACTGATATTGTTGACATGGGTTTTATTTAAGTAAGTGATCGAATCATTACTGGTGCAATTTATATTGAATACGTGAGTCAGAGGGGTACATTTCACAATAGGAGGTACACATGTGGAATGATATAATATAATATGATACAATTGGTACACGTTATAAGGACATTGTGCAAGAGGTCACCCATGTGCATAATTACATTTTAGTGTAAAAGTTGAATTTATTTGATTTTGTTCAGTGCAGAGCTAAATAAATTTTACAAACCAATACTCTTATAATACACTTACACAAATTTCATGACCAAAACAAGGCGTAAACAGAACCTGCAACTTCCATATAAATAACAAAATAAATACTGTCACAATTACAAATCTATGTAATACTGATGAGTTTATTTTTCTTCATAAATGTTCTTAAATTGAGTAATAGATCCCAGTCCAGAGAAATGCACATGTGTTTTAATGTGACCATGCGTGATGACTTCACTGTCTTGTCCTCTGCAGCCGGTCACATTGAAACAAACCGGGTCGAGTTCAGGAAATGTTTTGTTTGTTACGGGGAGCACGTGAAGGCAGCATCAGCAGTGACGCAACACATGGGCGTGTTGTCATGGCTGCGCTGCGGGACGGCTCCGCGCTGTGAATACCTACTGAGCTAACACTCGTCATGTCGGTGCTGGCGGCGGACCGCGGCCCGGAGTCCCAGCTCGGCACAGACTAAACAGTCCTGACGGGGGTCCGGTAAGTGGCTGCTGCAGAGAACCCGCGGTGTTCCCGGCGGTGGAAGACGGACAGATGCGAGTTAGCTAGCTAGCGTCAGTGTCACCCCAGCTAAATCTCGCTCTGTTGTCGGAAAGTCACGCAGAACTCCGCTCACAATCCCCCCAGTTTAACGCAGCGTCTGTCTTCGCTATGAGCCGCAGCACCCGGTGATGTGTTTACATGTGAGCTGCCATGTTGCTCGTCCCTGCTGCTGACACCCAACGTGTCCAGTGCATTTCCCCGTCAGAGATGAATGTCATGGGGGCTGATAGGAAGCTTGTTCACGTCAGCTGTGAATTGTAGCACCTGTCATTTAATGCGTCTGATTGGTTGGTGTATGTGTTTAGCAAATCCGATCACTCACATCCAACGATTAATCACAGCTCTCCTATTTTACATCGTGTGGTTGCTCTTCCCAGACACCCAAGCGATTCAATTGCGAACATTTTGAACGAGGTTTGGTGTAAGGTCCCCCCGCCCTCCCACACGAGAAAACCGAAAGTGTCTGGGCTTTTTGTTTGTCTAGCTAGGAAGCTAGGTCATGCTAGCCGACCAGTGGGGGGTGCCGGTTGTTCTACTGCACCTACAGCTCTGGGCAGGTTTGTCAGTCTGTACATTACATGGTGAGGTCAGTGTTTGTCACCAAATGAAGCATTATGGGAGTAAATGCAGCACAATGATGGACGCACTCGTTGTTTCCTTGAGTCCAGTGTTGTCGCTGAGCTGCCATGCGTTGCAGGACTGTGACATTAAAGAGCAGTAGCTGTTATAGGAGCTGCTTCAGCTGTCATCCCTCTGCTCATCATGTGGCACAGTGATGAAGCAGAGCCCAGCTGCTGCTGCTGGACATAGTCAGGATTGCTCTCAGCCACACCCACTCCGGGGAGCAAAGTTTCAGCCATTCGCTGTATCTCGGTTCTTTTTATTTTCCCCTGCCTGGCTCCACACATCTGAATCCCAGTAATCAAGCCTGAAGTGCTCCCTGGGTTACATCACAGAGATGACTAGTGGTTCAGAGAAACAGAGCTGATCAGCTGATTGCGACTTGAGAAGAAATGGGGGAAGTTTTGAGTGGAAATTCTCAAGGTAAGACGTTTTAACACTTGGCATAAGTTATGGGAAAGGTTTTCCCCTGCAGTCATCCCTCTGTTGGTAATATCGAGGCAGCTTGTGCAATTGCTAGCTTTAAAAAAAAAAAATTCTTCAGAGCTCTTTTTGTTTGATTGTATTTGAGTGCTTGGTTTTCTGAACAGCTCCATAGATTCTTGGTACACAATGTGTCTCTGAACATGTTTCTGTCAGCATTTGGAAGGCAAATACATCGTTTTTCCAGACTCCAGGCATTCTTTTACAAGATATTATATAATGTATATTTGTTTGTAAGCAAGATTACATAGAAACAACTAACTGGACTTGTACTTAATTTGGTAGAAGGATGGGACATGGGGCCAAAGAAGAATCCTTTAAATGTTGGTGTTGATCTGGATAGGGGGGCAGATCCAGAAAACTATTGTTAACATTGATTCAATCAACATTTTCTTTGATCTCTTAGAGAATAGTTCATGGATCTTGATGGAATCAAGTCAGACAGACTAGTTGCGAACAGACTAATGTGATATTGAAATGTAAGAGCTTGGCAGTTGTAGCCATCACCACAGTGCAGTAACAGCTTTCACAGTAGCATGTGCCGTTTGACTGAGTATTATTGTATGTTTTGCTTTTGTATATTTAAATAAAATGTATATATTTTTCTACTGTTCAATTTTGCAAGAGGAAAGTTTCCTCTTGGGTTGTAAACAACTCAGCCAGAGGAAAATCAACCAGAAGCACTAGTATGGAACAAAATAAATGTTGCATAAGGATTGGTACAAGTGGGCAACCGATCCTATTGATTCAGTCATACATTATGTAATCAAGCAAACTCCCACCTATTTATTATAACTCTACTGGATGACTCTCACTGGCCTTTATCCTGTTGTGAACTGAATGCATATATTGGTGAGTCAAAACATTATCTTATGCTTACATATTACAAGTGTAGTTAGACTTACACAGTTTACCATTGAGTTGCTGTGCTCTTTATAAGGTTGGTCAGTATTACATCTAAAACATAATGCTAAAAGAGTGCTAATAGTTTTGATTAATACTAAAGAATCTTTTACATTTATATCTTTAGTTGAGTTAGACCATAGCAGATAATTTGTGAAACAAATGAAACAAACGTTTGCAGTTCCCTCCTGTCTTTTTTAATATAATAAGTTACCTGCAGAATAATCAGACACATGATGATCAGTTTTTCCCAGGCTGCAACAAGCCCATATTTCAATAGTCCGCCTAGTCTGTTTGGTCTGATGACTACCATGTTTGTTTGTGTGTGTGTGTGTGTGTGTGTCTGTGTTTATTGGAGGCGGAGCTGTGTGCATGAATGCTTCCTTTTATATGATCTAGATTAACAAGTCTATTACATGGACAGTAGCACTTTTGTTTACAATGGAGAGTGCTGTAATAAACTTCATTATAAACCTATGTCTCAACCACTTCCTAAGCCCCATTCATTCTTCCATTCATGGGCTATTCACTCCCTGGCAGTGCCAGCTGTACTTTCACATGAGTGTCCGCGTGCAGCATCAATAGAATGCCGTTTTGGCTGGATTTCTTTTTTGGAACCATATTGTTGATGTCTCCCACAGCTGTGGCCTCAGTAAATAGTGTAGTTCAAGGTTAGAGAAGCATGGTGAAAAACAATAGTACTACTAGCCTAACCCTTACCTAAAACCAACCTTATCCTAACCTTAAAACATAAAAACATTTGTCAAAACGCACAGTAATACCTGAAACACACACACACACACACACACACACACACACACACACACACACACAGGCACACACACGCACAGGTTGGTATTGCCAGCCCATCGGCAACAGCAGTGGCACAGACCAGTTTGCCACTGGAAATGAGCATCATGGCAGGTGCTCATTCATCAAAATCTCTTCCAACCCCAGCCCTTTTCTTTTTGCTGTGCCCCCACCCCCCCAAAAAAAATAACAACATGCAAACCCTCCCCCTGAAACGTATGCCCTTCCCCCCTCCCCTCTGCTTGTCAGCTCATTGGTAGTGGAGCGAACGGTGTCCCTGTGGGCTATGAAAGAGAGGGCTGCACATCCTTATGTGGAGCGTGATGCGCATGTTTTCGTACATACTGATCCATAAACACAGTGTGTCGGCTTCACACGCGTGTCACTGAAGCCCACGTCCCCCCGGTGATTGACTACAGCATCAGAGGAGTCCTATGCAGAGCAAAGCCCATTGGCCTGTTTTTATGCGAGAGCCGGAGAACGTCGACCTGAATGCAGAGCTCGTCGGGCAGCCGCTCTTGCTGGCCATCCTCCTCCCTCTCCTCTCCTTTCTGTTCCTCTCCTCCTCCTACACGCTCATAATCCTTGCTGACACAACGCACAAAGGACTAAATGCTGGCTGCATCCTCCAGCAGCAGGGCTCTCTCCTCTTCTTCCTCCTGCTTTGATCCTCTACAGCCAGGCTGATTGCCTGTACAGCCGGACACTACTCGCATATCACGTCTCTGGAATACCGGCCTGGCTGCCCTCCTCCTCCTCTGCCCCCTGCATCCCCCCTCCTGCTCAGCCGGTTCATTCAAGGAGGGCGTCAGAACACGGCTTCAGCCCTGAGGAGGCTTTTTTTTTTTCTTTTGCTGGTTAAGCTATTGGTGGCACACTGGTAGCATATTTTTTTTCTCCATCCTCTGTTGCATTTATGTAGCAGGAGATAGGAGCTGCTTCCCCTCCTTCCCTTTTCGCTCAGCTGCACATCACTATACCACAAGGTAAACCAGCTAAACAGGACATGCAAGCATACATCTCAATCTTGTCTGTTTGGGTAGTTTCAGTCTTTTTTTAAAACCATTGATTGTTGATGATGTTCATATTTTAACAAAGAGCAGAATATATTGTTACAGTTTTTGTTCTCTTTGAAAATAAATTCCGGAAGCATTTAAGAAAAAGGATGATCCACCCAGTGTCCATCTATTTTCAGTGAAATATGGCTGCTTCTTTGTCATCAGTGGACAAGTTGGCTGGTATCTTGATCTTGTGCAAAGCCAACACGCGTGGCTGGTAACCACTGTTGCGCCACATGTCATTGCAATCTAAAGTAAAACTGGTAGATGTGCCAAGCAGCTAGCGACACCGTGCTTGCCTGGCTGCTTCTCATTGCTTTTTGTGTGACTGACTGGTGACAAACAGGCACAAAAATTGTTATTTTACCTGTCCTGCAAGTAGTTTGGGGTTTCAGTGTGTGGATTTTTGATTGCTGGAAGCTTAATCACAGCATGTGTATTGCAGGGGTTAGTGGCATTAGAGTTCATTATTAGCTTTACAACATTTAGTGCTAGGTAGCACTGAATTCACATTGAGAATGGCCACAGCAAAGTAAGGATCAGCACCAAAAAAACAGATTTTAATGACATGGTGTAGGTGAAGGATTAATTTAAGGACGTTTGTGTTGCTGAGAATACTGTATTTAAATTTACCTCTCGACCACTGATTGAAATGATCCCATCCCAGGATTGCTAGATAAAACTGAATGCTTTAAATGTTCACATCAGATGAAGTTAGGGGAGCTTAATACGTAAGTGCCGACATGTGATTCAATATTGACTTTTGACTTGATGTTTGACTTGAGGTCAGTTGGCAGTTTGCACTTTGAGTTAAGTGAATCATGCTCATCTTACAAGAGAAGCCTAACAAACACTGGAGAAGATCAAAGCTTCCACACAACACTGATTATGCAAAGGAACAATGCCTCACGTTTATAAAAAGTGAAGTCTCTTCCTGAAAGACAATCCCCTCATCGGATCACAACTTCTCTGTTGTAGGTCATTTCTTTACCTAACTCAGCCAGCTGGTGTGAGAGTTTTTTTTGTTCAGATAATGCACTAGGCTTATCCAGTCTTAATTGA